CTATGGAGACAGAGCGACTGAAAGGCTACTGCGGGGACGCGGGGCTACGGCTGCGGCACGGCCGCAAAACCTGCGTTTTAATTATGGTCGTTTACGACAGTTGCACTACTCAACGGAAGTGCAAAGGGTCAACGTTTCTGAAAAGAATCGAAGATTTTAGTGATGTAAACTCGTATGTTCTTAACTTTGATTGTGTTCGGATTTTATTTTTCCTGTACTAAAGACTTTTGTTGACGTAGGATGTGAACTAGATTTCCCAAATTTATTAATATATTATTTATTATACCAGTGTTTCATTGCAACCCTCTCTCGGTACGATTTTTGCCGTAACCTATTTCATACGAGAACTTGTATACGCGAATACCCATTGTATGACGCTACGGGGGCAACCTGACTAAATATATCAAAGAAATTACCGATCAATGAATAATAAAATTATAACAATGATATTAAATCTCTCAATTGTTTAATTCCAGAACCTAACCAAAATGACGTTTCAAAAACGCTATATCCAGCTCGACACCTACAGAAAGTAAATTACGAAGCACAAATAACAAATCACTTTTTAGACGAACCATTTTCTATGCAAAAACTATACTAAGTAACCTACCACATAAAAATTATTCAGCTCAGTCACAACTTCCGATCTGCAAAGTTTTCAACACAAAGACGGCTAAAAAAGTTTCGTTACTCTACAACACTATATAATGAACTCCCAAAGCTTCATTTTCAGAACAACATTCACGGATTGATGCCACGGGATCGAAGCACCGATCTTATTCACTGCAGGTACAACACTGAATGATGTGTGCAAGTATATTACCCGGTGTAGCAATATAACAGGTATATTGCAAGTATATACTAGCTACAATTGCACGTAAATCAGCTATATAGCATTCATATTGAAAGTATATACTAGCTATTTAATTGCAAGTATATTAGCTATATAGCAAGTATATTGCAAGTATATACTAGTTACAATTGCACGTAAATCAGCTATATAGCATTCATATTGAAAGTATATGCTAGCTATTTAATTGCAGGTATATTAGCTATATAGCAAGTATATTGCAAGTATATACTAGTTATACTTGCATGAATAAAAAATTTAGTGTGTCACGCCTTTTCAGGTTAATTAGAATCAATTGGCATGTTACCAAATCAGCCGCGTAACCTCTAACATAAATAATAAATATCTGCCAATTTAATACTCTCTCAAACGTTATAAAGTACCTATTGGGAGTGCTCACACGTTGTTTGTAAACTTAATTTCAAGATGATAACAAAGTTCGCAAACTTTCAAATATTTTGATTTTGTGAAATTAGTCCATGAATGACGACTCATCAATATTCTTTCAAACGTAAATTAATCATAAATATTTCTTCAAATTGAGCGTCCATATACAAACGTATCTGACTCTGATCTATCTAGCTGATTCTGACATGCGAATCTGATTCGGCGATATTTCACCATACACCTATGCACATTGTACTTTGCTCGCAACGCTCAGTCGTGAAGATGAGTACGTCGAGGTATGTTGCAGCTGCTAGTCAATCGACAAAGATTCAGTCAATATGATTTTGCAAAATTTCATACGCAACGATAATCAAATCAAAACTATTAAAGGATTATTTATTTTCTTAGGAAAGTTAAGGACTGCATTGGGAACTTTTTTATTTTATAAAGCATGGGAAATATTCCCATGCTTTATCTCGTTTAATTTGCTCGAATATTCTGCGTTAGTGACATTCCACAAGCACAGCGAATTGAGGTACTCATCAATAAACTTGGTTAGGAAGTCAAGGCTTGGAGTCCGCCATGACTGCACCCATCCTGTTACCTTGGCGTCTGCAGTGCAACTAAACTCGAGCCGAGGCCCGAGCCCCACAGCAAGCAGTGAAAGCCATGGCTCGGCTCGACTCTATTTTACTCACCTCGGCTTGTCCGGCGCCATATTTGGGGGTTTGACGGTAGCCGGGTTGGACTCACGAGTCGGACTCTATGGTGTATGGGGCCATGTTTTAGCTCTCGCTACCAGCTTACCGTAAACTCTTATTCCGCTTACTTACCAGCTTCACTACTACTTTCTGTTGAAGTTGTGCGATAGTAGCACTAATGTTCCCATTCTCGTCACTCTGGTTTTGTTTTGTTGAAAGTTTAGTATTGATAATTTCTATAGCCGATTTTCCTGTAGCGTAAGGAAAAATTCCCCAAATACATGTGGCTAATCTATAAGAAGACAAATGAATAATTAATACTATAAGCAACTGCATCCCGTATCTTCGCGTTCTAATTAAATTAATTATTTAAAGATGTCGGAGGTCGCGTTTACGAAATGAACGAAATCGATTGGTGCCTGTGGTGCTTTATTATTACAACACTTATCTTTAACTTCACTTCTTGTTTGTTTGTCTGCTACAAATCTTATAATCGATATTTAACGCACTTCTACCTGTCCAATCGATCTGAATTTGGCTCACTGGCGTAAAGTCGGAGACAATACATGAACCAATTGACAGAATAAATAATTTAAGAAATTTAAAAAAAATCATATATTAAGAAAATTATAAAAATAATTTTTTTATATGCTTAAAACAAAAAAAAATCAATTCAATTTACATTAGTATATTCGGAGACACTGGCCTATTTAACAATTTCGATTTAAAAAGTGATTTTTAAACGCGTATTATTAACCGTAGATTCTGATTTATTTTACGAGGTATAGTACTTATTCTTGGCAGGTTGATTTATTTCAAATTAGAATATTCGCATCAAATAACCGTCCATTCGATAGACTTGGAGTGCAGTTTCAGTGTATGAATTATATAGATAACATTCTCACATAGATCACCACGTAATGAGCTTCAACTTCATAACTTAAATCTAAATATTCAAATTATTAATTAATGGCATCCGCACTTAACTCACTGAACATATAACTGCGCAAACATGAACTTAATGAACGTTATCAGCACACAATATGATTGGTTGTCTGAAGAAATAAAATCAATCAAGTTCACTGAATTATAGAATGCTAATGTACACCGATTGAATTGAAAAAAGCAGATCGTCCAAATTCACTGTTTGCTATTAAAACTGTAAAATTATCTAGTTAGATAAAATTCAAACGTATTAATTGACTTGCGGACTCAAGTGGAGTTTTGAGTTCAACTTCCACATCTGAAACCTCATAATGGCATTAGTGACTCATACACACAATATACAGTATGTATTACTACCTAATATAATACCCAGGTCTCTTATAAAAATGAGACCGGGGAACCACAACAACAACCTAATATAATAATAGGTAAGCTGACAGCAGCATGTTATTGCGAGTGTACGAGGGTGGCTGTCAGTTATTCCAATCTCGATTTTTGAACCATTATAATATATATTTTATATTCATCTTATTCAGTATCAATTATTAGTGTTGTTCCAGGCTTGAATATAATATAAACCTTGATTTAGTCGTGAAGATAAAACCTTCCAAAAACATATCCAGTTAAAACGAGTACAAGAAAAATTCTAATAAAATGTTTAGAAATTGAACACCAAAATCATAATTACAAATTCCCATGGTTATAGTTGATGGTATCCTTGAGAAACAACGAAAATAGTCTGTATGCAAAATCTTTTGAATGGAATTTATTGGGCAGGAGGCCTTTCCAAAATCATGTTTGGGGACGGAACGTCGAATAGTTTTTCTTTACTCTAAAGTCTAGACAATAAGTGAATGCATTGGTATCCAAGAAAAGAAGTAAATTTGTTACGTGCTGGAATTGCATGCAGGATACTGGATGAAGACCTTGTTCCTCAGCATCATAATCACGTAACCAGACAACCCGAAAAAAACGAAATCAAACACAACACCCGCAACAAAGAAGAAATAGCTCTTGATTGTGAACCGCTTATAAATAGCAGTATATTTTTTCTCCGCTTCTTCGTTGTCCTCCCAAGCGTTGCAGGGAAATTTGTTGAAGCTTTTGTCCGTTGAAGTGTAGCAAACCTTGGTCGCTACGTCCCCACCAGTCAAGTTTTCTCGAGTTGAGTACACGGGCGTGATAATGTTCGTGTTGAAGAAAGGTCCTTCGTTTGTTGATCTCAAGCTTTCTATTTCTTTTCCTCCAATGTCAGACTTGACGCCACCTTTCGCCGGGCCCGCGGGCTCCACAACAGACTGTAAAGCTAATTCATTTATCTTTGCCAGGTCTTTAGCTTTTCGATCTTTGAAGGCAATGAGCCAGCGGTACACGCCCAGGTGATTGAGGCAAACGAAAAACATCCTCAATATCCCGTAAAAGAAATAAATATCGACGAATTTCGGGGCCGCCGAGATGGGGATGACGACGCAGATTTGCGAGTACAGGCCAGCTTCGACGATGAGGCAGGCGAGCGTCACGGCGATGCGATCTCTGCGGTCACATGGGCTCTGCATTACTTTAAATGCCTGAGAAATCATTGCTTAAAGATATAACAGGTAGTTTTCATTTCTATTGTAGTTAGGCTTCGTCCATTTTATTTCAATTTTGTACCATTCATATGGCCTCAGGTTAATTTTCTCCTCGAATAAAAAATTCAATTTTCAGTCAACATATAAACAATCACTTAACCACTGCCATTTATTTATATGAATAAATAATCCAAATCTAAAAATAACTATTTTACGCTCAAGATGAGATAGTTTTGAGCCAAGATTTTACGCGATGTAACGACGTAAATGCTCATCTCAGTCGTAGGCGTATTCATGTCTACAAAAGTAGTATCTGTCGTAGGGAAGATATATACTCGGAAGTTCATATGTGCCCTGATGATCAAATTTCGAGCTAATATGTTATAGTTACTGGAAATTCTCAAATGCATAGAAGAGCGTAGTGATGCCGATGACGGTGATGACCACGACCGGCATGAAGATGCTTAGCACGAAGCCTCCGTAGAGGCTCTCCAGCAGCACCTGCTTCACAAGCACGACTGTTCACCTCCATAACGACATCGAGTAACGTTAGTTAAGCGAATGATGAGACTCAAAGACGCAAATAAGACAATTTTTGTACAAATATCTTCTACAATGGGAGCGGGCAAGAAAAGTCACGCTTTCTATAAAATGTTTGATACACTCCTGGTACAGAAACGTTTAAGACCATGAGATGCAGTTTGAAATGAGAGAAACGGAATTGAAGCAAAAATTTTGCTGAAAGATATTAGAATACAATAATGACATGGATAAAAAATAAATAGGCGGTTTACAATGACTCCGTCCAGTGATTTTACATGCATGAAGATGGCCATGTCGATCGAGTAACGTGACACACGAATTGATCTAAGCCATCCAGTGATAGGTTTGACTTAATATGCGCGGCAATGGTGGGTGCACGAATGTAACCGAGTGTGACCTACGAATTAACCTATGCCTTCAAGTCTTCGTTTTGCCTGTTATCGTACAGTGATGGTGATGGTGCGTGGCGTGGAGCTGTTCGGTGCCTGGAAGCAGCTGTGATGCACCATGAACAGTGACATCCTCTGCTCCTTCAGCTCCAGCTGAGTTGCCTGTGTAAGTGAGACGACATCGGGGGATGAGATTTTGTATATACGTATTTTTATCCGTATATATCCTCATATGAAATCATGTAGCCTCATACCCTAACAAAATTTAAAGTCGTGGGCATGCAGCTCTGGATTAAGGAACGCTTAGGACTCGGGGAGCATGGTCCATCAGCTTCCCTATGTCGGATTTTTGGTCTACATTCCGGTCCCCGAATCAGACAGCTACAAGCATGGTTGAACTAATACAAGGTTGACCCACGAGCAGATGCGCCTTGCGGATGTTATTTGTTATTCCACCCGTGATGTCACCCTGGTCGATGTGACGTTCAAACTGATTCAAATTGAATTGTAACACCCTTTTTGCTTAAAATAAGACTAGTTGCAGTAAATACATTTTTTGGAGCCATTTTAATGAGGTCAATTTTTTTCATGGGTGAACTAAAACAAGATTGTCCGTACTTCAGCAGCGCTTTGCGGATGTCATTTGTTACTCCAACTGTGACGTCACAGTGGCTCTTGTGACATCACCTCGTGATGTCACACTGATTTGTAACACGGGTTTTGCTTGAAATAAGACTAGTTGCATACAGTAAATAAATATTCTTGTGCCATTTCGATGCGGTCTATTTTTTTAATGTTTTCAAAGATGACATAAAACAATGCGTTGATCTACACCATTTACATTTTGTGCCCCCAGTGACGTCACTCTAGAGATGCGCGAAATGATGACGGCGAAAAATCGTCATCACCGTGGGTCAACCTTATATTAGTTCAACCATAGTTCCAGAATAAGGACCAGGCGCTTAGTAGCCATACAAGCGCCTGGTCCTTATTCTGCCAACTCTGGCCCTACTCTCAGGAGACTATAATAAAAGTCGGCAAGGAGGTTGTGGCTTGTTGCTGATTGCCATCAGTTGGCCAACCAGACCCAGAATAACTCTACGCGAACATAGCAACTCTGGGCGGAGGCTGAAGCATACCCCGAATTTTGTTAGGGTATATCTTCATATTACGGGTGATTTGCAAAATTGGTATATTTAGTATGAGCCTGATTTTTTCCCGAAAATTAGCGACGAACTCCTGGCTACAATGGCAATTAGAATGTTATCTCATTCGGATGGCTTATAATTCTTTGCAGTGCAGCTGATCAAGTTCTAAGCATTTTATCCCTTACGCATTTCCAGAGAGGGAATTACTAACCGTAGGGGAAATGCAAGATTCAGCTAACATTGTAGTGTATTGGGATATAAAGAAGATCCCATTTCTTAGCGCGATTGAAAAGTTACCAATTTTACTGAAGTTTAGAATATACCCCTGACCCAGTAGAACGTGCAACGATATGGCGAAAACTTGTTACTTTAATACCCGTTACTCATCATAGTTTGTGCCTAATCAATGGCAGCATGAATTTTAATCAGCATGATTAAACGTGCCAGCATGACGATCGTCATAGCCTGGATCAATAACTCATCATTGCACCAGATCATTGCGTTTCACGATATGAACAACAATTCTTATACATATTGCCCCACACCTCGTATACATATTGCCCCACAACTCGAATGCATAAGGCCGCACAACTGCCCATCAAAACTCACGGACACGTTGAAGTATGGACCATTGTCACTCTGGTCATCCAGGGTGATATTGAACATGCAGGGATGCACGCCAAAAGGGTAGATCGCCAGGTCGAAGTCACAGAGCAGAGTGAAGGCAGTGATCTCAATGTGGACAATCTCGGCTTTGTATTGGCGCTCTAAGGTTGATAAAGTTACTCATGGAGTTACAAATACACTGGTTGTGACTACTGTGGTCGTTATAAGATCAAACGATTAAATTTTTGCACATGGTCTGACTGTAAAAATAAGTCTCATGAAAAGCGTTACTTGTTTTTTCAAAATCATTATTTCATTGAAAAATGACGCGATGCATGTGTATGATTGGAACAAATTTTCAAGTCTATCTTATCTGCTTTCAAACCTATTTTTTTAACTAAGTTACCGGCTAGTGTAGCATCAAGTTTTTCCAGCAAATCATATTACTGCCGCTAGTAGGTTTTTATGCACATATCAGTCACTAACAGTGTTGAAGAACATTAGGTACCCTCTATTATGCCATGGTATGTTACTGTTAGCCAGTGACTAGAGCTAATTCCATATTAACGACGGATGAATAAACACAATTGCTTGACCGATAATAATTGGATGCGACCGATAATTATTGTTTCAGTAGGATTGTTGACTCACTCCTCTGGGTCTTGTAGGTCTTGATGGTTGTAGTGTTGCCTCGTGCTGCCATGAGCCTCGAGATGCTGTTGTTCCCCTGGTAGTAATCCCTTTCGTCCTCAAATACCAAAGTTTCGAAGTGGTATTTCGGGTACCATATGTCTTCTGAAATGATATTCCTCTCCAATTCTTCCTGAAGTTGGACGAATTCAATCCTTTCGTCTTTCCAAGAAGTTTTGATCTGCGAAATGTTAATTTTTCAACGACACGCAAAGAAATTTTTGTTAATTCAAATGAGCTCAGTGTGCATGCATGGAGCGAGTGTGTCATGGAGCTCCGTTTTCACGATATTGACGTGTTGGCAGATAATTACGGAACAAAGTAGAACACTGTACTTCTTGCTCGTCTCTATAAACTGAACAGCAGAGTGAGGTCACTTGCTTCCGACGTTATCTACTTTTAATTCATTACATAAATAAGTATGCTATTGCCTTAACTATTCGATTAATTGTCTCTTATTTCATCAGACGATATTAAACCAATATTTAGGACAATTAAATGCATTAATTAATCCCTGAACCCTTTAAATACTGCAAATTTCGTATGTTTTGTAACATCCTCAGCCCTTACAAATGTCTCACTGCTAGTTTCATGTCCCATCTCAATGACTTTTTCACTCACATATATTTTGATCTTGATGCGACCGTTACCAATCTCCACATCGGAAACGGAACTGATGTTAACACCAAGTTTGATAGGGAGTGTTGTGTTACTAGCGCGCGTGTTGTCGTAATTCTCTACCGGGTAGATGTTCGGCTTGCAGTTCTCGTCCTCGAAGTCGGGGCACTGCTGCAGCCCGTCGCAATGCTGGTCCAGAGGGATACACGAGCCGTTGTTGCACGTGAACTCTTCCTGTAAGCAAGATGTATGAAATAATCTTATGATCTTATTATGAGTTCTGGGTGTGTTGACCCTACTTTCACCACGCTGGTTCCCCGCTCTCAAACCATTCTCTTCGATGCAGGGTTCGAGCCCAGGCCTTCATTGTCCAAGCTGCGCGAATTTTCTGAGAAATTGGCGCATCAGTGTAACTCAGATTTTAGACAATACTCGTACGAAAGACCATACGGTGCTCCAACTTTTTTTAATAATGGGACCAATATTTTGATATTTGGTTGATGGCATTCTGTTCTTACTGAGTATTTTGAAAACTAATTTTGTTTGAAGACCACTTAAACAATAAAGTCGTATGTCTCGACGGACGGTGGGGCAATATGCTGACCAGTAATTCGACACTAAATTTTGCAGGAGCCAATAGACCTTTAGCATATGTGAGACAAATTAGGGAAAAAATTACGGATAGAGGTTCAATTTATAACTGAATTAGCTTAAATCAAAATAAAATGTATAAATAATAGTAAGAAATGTAACGTACGTATGATGCTATTTTATCATTAATTCAAAATAGACCTTACACACACGATATGATAATTGATACAACACAGCGTTGGCTCACTCACAAATGACACAATCACGAATATATCACAATGCAGGCACCAATACGACTCAATCACAGTAATAACACAATGTGTCATTAGTCCCATTACCGCATCACACAACTTTTAATACAAATCATTATTTATACATTTTATCTTGATATTAGCAAATTCAGTTATAAATTTAACCTCTATCCGTAAATTTTTTCCTAATTTGTCTCACATATGCTAAAGGTCTATTGGCTCCTGCAAAATTTAGTGTCGAATTATTGGGAAACATATTGCCCCACCATCCGTCGAGACATACGAACTTATAGTTTAAGTGGTCTTCAAACAAAATTAGTTTTCAAAATACTCAGTAAGAACAGAATGCCATCAAACAAATATCAAAATATTAGTTTCAATATTAATCATTTAACATACCTCAGCACACGCTGAGATGACAATCGGCTGATCATCATTCGGAGCACCCGGCCTGTGGGACCGAAACAATCCCATAGGAACATCCAGTGCTTGCTCGGGTTTGCGTGCAGAGAACAGCAGTTTACCGGTCTTATTGACCTGATACTCGGTGTTCTCGCTGTTTAGGGCGATGGAATCCCGGTACCGGCTACGGTACAGACTCTGTAGACCGTCTCTATCCAAGTAAAACTTGCCAAAAGTGTCCATTTTTTCACCAAGCGCGGAAAATGTAGCGTTCTCCGGAATCTACGTGATGATGAAAGATGCATTGCACATATGATTGATTTTCAGATTAATTCAAAATTTAGAAAGAAATCAACTACACAATGAAGCGAAACGTATAGATATCAAATGTAGACGGAAGTACGGCTAGAGTAGCTCTTTCGCATTGGATTTAAAATAAAGATAACAGATTTTGGTCGAAATTAAGCAGAAATGTCGTATACCTTCTTATAAGCGTTCTAATTAAGAATTAATTTAATTCGCTCGATAACAAAAAAACTTAACTAATCATTACAGATAGTTCGCGGTGTGCCATTATCTTCATCGATCATTAGTATGATAAAAGTTTGAATAATTTAAGGCAACTGTTGGTTTGGATTCAATATTACGAAATAGCGACAGTACAAATTCCACGTTCGAAGTTCCAGTAAACTATATTTATTCGTTCACGTTGTCTAAGATGGAAATTTTGCTACAAAATCTAAATCGGTATAAGTATTTGTCGTTTTAACATAAAAATTAAACAATCGCGTTTCCTTTATACCATCGTATTTAAACAAATAGTCTAATTAATTTTAATTAAACTAAATGTATTATGCTTTATACCTTTGTATTTAAACTAATTGTAAGGTTATAATAGTATAATTGAGTTATTCAAATAAAGAGGTCGGCAAAAAAAGGCGGTGAACGACCAACGGAATATTGAACGGGCAGCCAAATTGATGTGAACGAGCAACGGAGTTTCACGACTTAAAATAGCCTTAATAGGATTCAGATCTGCTGTTTCATTCGATAAGTTTTTTAATTTGTTTACCTCATTTGAAACACCCCTCTAACCAAATTGAAAATAAACAGTCATGACCAATAGAAAGGAAGTACATCCTTTGTTTTAGAAATACCTCGTTTGAATGCTCATACATTAATTAACATATAGGTGGTCAAATGCTCACCTCGCACACTAGTAGCTTCGACATTGTGTTGTTGCAGGCTAACTCCATCTGCCTGTCTTTGCTATTGTCGTACTGCACGGCAAGGTAGCAGATGTTGTTCTGGGACTTGTTTTTAAGCCAAAATTGGAAGTCGGATCGTTTCACCATCAGCTACAGACACAATAAAATTAGTCAGTAAGACCAATCACTGATTTACAGGCAACGTTTTATTTTCTCTTGTTTAGCTGCAGTTCATGAGCGTTTTGAAATGATGTGAAGTTGAATAACTTTTCGTGGAGTAGAGTTACATGGAATCGTATGAAGTAACAATTATTTGTACACAAAATTTTTACAAATTGTGGATGATGACATTATAACGATCATCAATAGTAATATATTTATCTATAAACTGTATACATTCAGTTCTTTCCGTTCAGCATTCGTTAAGACTTCTCACAGCGTCCCATATGCTCTTCATTTCGGTGTGGTTGGCAGATGGTAAAACGCCTGAGAACTTCTTGCACCAACTGGCAGCCTCGTCGTAAGTGAAGCCACCTGTGCCTAGATAGTGCAGCACCGAGGTTGGGGCGGCGCACGGGTCCAGGTCCAACACTTTTACACTGGGTTCAGGAAAAAGCAGCGAGATACATTTGAAATTTCATAAAATTGTTAATATAGGCTCTATTGAAATTGTTTCATTTTATATCTAGTTTGTTGAAGAGGTAGAAGTGTTAAAGAGGTAGTAGTTTTTTCTTTCAATCTGTTATTGATGTACTCGTTATCAAATATTTGATACTGAAAGACCCAAAACTCACGCGGGCTCGGGCTGCGCGGGCGAGCTGCTGTATGAAGAGTTCAGCGGCGCCCAGGGGCCGTTGTTGGTCGCTGGGTCCAGCTTCACGTCGCGGGTCAAAACAATTTTTGGGTCGAGCAAATTTCGCGTTTCCTGCCACGCCAACCCTGCCACGACGTTATCCGTGGGGGGAGGCAGGCACTGTGCAAGCTGTGTTACCTGATGGCGAGGATTGCATTTTGCTTCTAAATGGCAATCATGGCATAATCATGCAATATGAACGAGTAAACTGCCATTTGCATGGGAAAGCCTCAACTCGAAAAGCCATGACTTGTATATTATCCCGAAGACATATTTTCCTAACACTTCTCTTCACTTATCAAAACACTAGACGAAAGCGTGTTGGAAATTTTAATCTTATTTTTGTTTTAGAATTAATTTTTACTTAACGTGATAAAGAAATTACCGCGTTAGTTGCGTAGGTGACAAATTATATATATCATTCAATATTTTACGCCCTTTTGCAGTGTGGCGACCGATTAAATTTTTCCAAGCAAGGGTTTATCACCTTGCGCCATGGTTAATGAGGATAAAAAGGGGGAAATTATTCTTACGAATTATTCCGCACCTATTTATATTGAATTTACATACCTCCTCAAGGAAAATTTGTCTAGGGAGTACCACGGGGACGGAAACTTGTACTCCGCAGTCCATGTCACTGCTGGATTTGACTTCGTAATTGGAGCAGAACGAGAACACATATTTTTCTGTCTGTGGTATGGAGATCAGGTGAATATTTACCATGCCATTTTGTTATTTTCAAGTTTCAGTAACCGATTACTCTATGGTTAAGACATATATATTATGACTCATACATTTACATGCAAAACTAGGAAATTAATCATTTTATTTGCACTTAGAATACACCTTCTCGTCGTATTTTTACAAGCAACATGGGTCACCAACCTTCTCCATCGGACTAGGCGAGTTATTGATCATCGTCGTACGTTTTTCCACGCCGTTTATGTAGACTTTACTGCCACCAAAAACTGATACGCACAAGTGCACCCACTCGCGCATTTTTACTTCAAAGTCCAGTACCATGTACATCAATGATTTTCCTTCACTGAAGTACAACTCTTGAGACGCGACTGGAATAAGAAAAATCATTTCACATCAAAATTAGGCGCTACTATTTTGAAGGCCCAGAGCGTAGCGTGAGAAAATTACCAAAATGAAAAAAATTGAGCTTTTCATTCGGCAGAAGAAAAGAGAATAATTTTTAGTTTTAATATTCTTGATCATTGTTCAATGAGTCGAACGATGTTCTTTGTTAACGATCTAAAATCAGATCGGCAAAAGGCTTTTTAATATATAGCGACATTAAGTCGTTGGATTAAGGTAATTATTACTTAATATTACATTAAGTAATAGGATGGATTTGCCACACTTAAACTTTTGAAATTACTTAAGTATAGGAATTTTGTATTATAGAAACAACTCGGAAAATCTTGGGAAATATTTATGTTAAACTCTTTGGATAGTTATAGATGATGAATTAAATTCCAGCGTTACTAATCCACTGTAATGTGCACACCTTAATTGCAGGGAAAGATTTCGAGGCATGCTCAAAATTGCCCATGCATCAAATTTTTCGATTAATTTTCATAGGTAATCAGTGCCAAAATGTGTAATGAGACTATGTTGCGTCACAACCACTTTCACACCCAACGCCGCACAGTCGCTGAATAATGGTAAGAGCAACATTTTTACGTTACTCCAGCGCAATAGATCTCCGGCGAAATATGTAGATCTCGAATTTCTGAAGCGCTAAAAAACCTTGTACTACTAAAAAACCTAGTACTACTAAAAACCATGGTACTACTAAAAAACCTAGTACAAAAAACCTACTATATGTAGTTTATGTACTACTCATACGTGACACTGTGCTGGGGGTGACAGAGAAAAATTTGGTTTCAGCGCGGAAGACTGAGAGCAGTTCTCACCGACGACGATGCTCAGGGGGTAAAGGAAGAGGATGTTGGATGCCTCGTCTCCCAGGAAGAGCAGCTTGAAGTGCAGGCAGTAGGAGACTGTGGTCAGGTTGGTAGGCAGCGAGAAATTCGTGGCCAACTGCAAGTAGTTTATCTTCTCCCTCTCGCTGATGGCGAACCCCGGTGCTCCTGTAATTGTTTTTTTCTCGTTTACTTTGTATGATATATATTTAAACATAATTTATGCAACATTTATTATTTATCGCAAAATTCTCATTGCCTTTTAGCAAATGAGGAGCTACAAATAATATAGAATCTAAACAATAAAATTATTATTTGCGTAAAAATCATAAGTAAATTAAATTATAAATTTTATAAATTTAACATATACAAAATAATAAAATTAGATTGGCTCTCTATTCATCTACTCCAAAGATTGGTGAGTCTCAGCGTGAGCGTTATTATTTTGAATTGACAGGTACTTTTGAATATTCATTCCATTTCAATTTTTAGTATATAATAGTTGCTCTACTGTCAGAAATCTAAAAAATCTAAAGTATTTAAATTTGAATTTGTCACCATGAACGAGCTGGCGAAGCGTCGTGCATGCCAGTACAGCTACTAGCAAGAGCCAGGCAGCACGCCGTCCTGCCATGTTAGCGCTGCCGTATCTCAAATACAACGGTACCTGGGAGAACCGCTTACGCCGTCCATATACAACCGTACCTGAAAGATATTAATAATTGTTTGAGAACGACTTGCAAAGACGATTGAATTATAAGGAAACTTTACACATGCATTTAATGCATAATGCAAGGTTGGTGCATGAATATAAGGTGCGCAGAGAATTAAATGCAAATAATATCCTGAATAATCAACCGGTATAAATTTAATAATATACCAAGGTGGGAAAAATAACTTCCTTGCACGTGGTATGTATGGTGAAAAGATTTCTCGACGACAATTTTTTAATTGGAAGAAGCTTTTAATTATTAATTAACTGAATAAAAAGCGTAGAAAGCCTTCAGTTCCCGTAGACGAGTTCAAAACTCCTCTGTAATGCAGCTTCTGCACTGCTGTTTGATTTACAAGTGTCACTTAGCGGCGTGGTTCTTAACCTGCCTGTATGGCTACCCATTCTTACATTCCCTTCTGTTTGTTGTTCCTATGATCTATCAATAGTTGCCGTCGGTTGTCAAGCTCATTATGACTAACAGCTCATTATGACTGACATTATGCCCTCATAATTCATCTGTCCTTAGTTTCTTGCACTCAGTTATGAATTACAATTTTCATTTATCGTATACAATCCTGAAACGGGTATGGAGTACATGAGATGAAAAAATTCTACAGATGAATCTATTAACTTCTCCATTCAAATCATATCACGAATATCTTGCTCCATTATTATGGCTTTCTCATCATTTGATAATTTTATATGACATTTTTACCTGAGAAAAAAAAATTACCTATATTCTTGGTTTTGCACTTGCAGCAGGGCACTGGTAGTACGCAGGGTATTGAACAAAGCGAGCTTCTGATTAGGAACAACCAAGCAAGCTTATATAATGTCGTGAAACCACACAAAAATCGATCCATATTCACATTTTCATATGAAATCGTCAACCGCCTGTTGCTTAGAATAATTTTTGTCGATGGTGTAAACATCATCTAACTAATTACGCTCCGTAAAACACAATTTTTCTTTTAGCGCCCTGAGCTCTGAATGTTGACTTAGCTGTTGACGAAGTCAACAGTTGGACGAATGCATCCTATTGTTGTCCTATCATCCGTTTCATGAAATGCTCCATCTTTTGTTTGAACAGCTTATGATCTACAACATAAATTTTCAACGATACGAAGATTAGAACGGCTATAAATCAATTTGGAGCAAACGCTAGAAATTGAAGTGGTCATTGAAACACGTTCTTATTATGTTCACTCGCCATCACTACTGTTCTGACATTCGGATAAATTTTATCCTCCATTTGTCAATATGCACATAATTAGAAATGCGGTGACCTCCGAGAATAATGAGCTATTGTTATAACAATATAAGTCCTGTAATTTGTTGTTGGTTCCAAGTTCAGAATTATTATTTCAAATTTACTTTCCACAGAACACAATCTATGCAATTCTTATTCTTCGCTGATGTTGCGAATAGATTTTGAGAGCAGACGCTCGGAGTTTTAGAGTTCAGTGAAAATTTAGTATAAAACATAATAGTTTGTATAATATGTTCAATTATGTACTCGACGGGATGCATATTATGAGATATATTTTTTTTTCTTTTTCGGAGTACCGCTTTAACCATATGTTGTTTTGATGATGTTCTTTTGTTGGATTAGTGACTCAATAATGGTTGAATATATTTATTTTATCACTAGAATATGGAATCTCGTTTAACTGTGATATTATTTTTTGAATTAATAGGATTTAGTTATTAGCGTCTTAAGACGAGACTGAATGTTGTAGCTCCAACGTTATTGGTCGAGTTTCTCCTAGGTCGACGGATTGGTCGAGTTGCCATGGTGCACTTTTATTCCCCTTGGTAACCAGGAATTTAAAGCAAAGACAATACTATAAAAATTCACCATATCTTTATGAACGTTTCGGAGTCCAGCTGAAGCGTCAGTTGGCATGCACGACATTGGCATAATGAACTGACGGTGGAGCTGGACTCCGAAACGTTTATAAAGATATGGTGAATTTTCGTGGTATTGCCTTTGCTTTTAAATTCCTTGTTAACTTGCGATTTAATAAGCAAACAGGTGATTTTAATACTTCCCCTATGTAGTCTTGGACGATGGAGTGCTCGGTCTCTTTAGAATTAATTTAGGATTATTCGACTGTTAACTTTTGATTGGTTTGCCAAAGGATTAAAATTATGATTACTTTATTGTATTGTATTATATTGTCATCTTTTGTACCTGAAATGTGAACTAGTCCGTTTTGTTGCGCTGTAAACGAGATATTGGGGCAAGGTTATTTTAGCTGAGTTACCCCTCGCGAGCAAATTGTGCGTGTTCAGTGGTACTACTGTACTAGGTGGGGGTGCAGGCGTTTCGACTCTAATTCACGAAGCAAATCTTAGCTTCCAAGATGAAACTCCGCCGTAGTTCTGGATAAATCTCGCAAAGAGATCCACTAATGGATTAATTACGGCAGGTGTAGTTCTTGGTTAGTCCCAGTTGCTGGTAGCGCTCTGGTACGAGTAGTTCCCGTGCCGAGCACTTCTCGTGTTGTGGGGGCTAATAACCTTTGCACTCGAGTATATTTGTCAGCGTTCTGGTGGAGCTTCTGCGGTACCGTTCGCGCCTCTCGTGTCGTGGGAGTTAACACCTTCCCCGCTCGAGAGTAATCGGAACTTTGCAGTGTATTAGGGCTAGAATCCCTAGTCTCTGCGGCTGGTCGTTGGCATCTCGGTGCGGCCAATTCTCGTACCATTTGCTGTCCATTTTTGTTACACTCAGCTGTGTACTAGGCTCATACTCTAGTTTCTCGTTGCTGTTTGTACCCCTGAAGTGTCATTCCTTTTTCCGATAAATTTTGAACTAAGACAAATAGTAAATTGTGCACCCTTGTATGATGAATCTTGTAATTCACCCGAAGATCACCAGTATATTACGAAAAGTTCCTCGTGTTCATTCCTCCTCTCTCCAACGCAAGGGAATTTAGAGCCGGGCCGAAGAGCGACTCTTTAGCCCTTGTGTTTAGAATCAGTACGAAAGTCTCCACCAGATCGGCACGCTACCCGTAATTATTTCAACTTCGCGGCGGTGTTTCCGGTTACATAACACCGCATATAATTAGAAATGCGGTAACCTCCAATGTTTATGAGCTATTGTTATAACAATATAAGTCCTGTAATTTGTTGTTGGTTCCAAGTTCAGAATTATTATTTCAAATTAACTTTCCACAGAACACAATCTGTGCAACTTTTATTTTTCGTTAATGTTACGAATAGATTTTGAGAGCAGACATTCAGGGTTTTAGAGCTCAGTGAAAATTTAGTATAAAAAATAATAGTTTGGGAGCAAATGTAAATTGTATATGAAAATAGGATGCTAATTATGAGGTTTTCTAATATGTTCAATTATGTATGATGTTCATATATAATAAATAAATGAATTAGTTATTATTATATAATTAATAAACTGAAATTTTTAATTATGTGCAGTTTAGTCCACTAATGATTGATAGCCTACTTGAGTATCAGATTTTACATATAAGGTATATAAAGTAACTTAAATCTTAGCAGCAAAATCCGCAGAGTTCTCACGACCTTAAAATTAAACCAACTCTCCCCGATGCCATCCAAAAATCATCCATCTTAAAGTTTTATGTTCAAAATCAAAATTCACAAGAAAAGTTATTCTGCCAATTACGTTGCTTTTGGGTTTATTGTAAAATTTTTAAATTTTAAATTAAAGTTTCGAACATTTTATCTCACAATCATGACAAACGTCTCGATAATTTCTGTAATAGGGCAGTCTGTCTCGTGTCCAGAAGGTAGAGTCGTAGATTGCTTGCTAAATTTTAGGAATCTTAGATGACAAGATTTCGTTTACTAAAAAATATGTTTTTAGAGTTCTATGACTATGATATAAGCGAATAAGTTCACTCATTTAGCTTATTATTATATTCTTGAAGACTGTTAAGCATTTGAGAAATGGGGAAGAAATGCAATATTAATCGTGTGCTTTAGTGTTTGGTCTTCAAACAGTTACGCTCAATTAAGTTTTAAATACCATTTCTCTTGATAACTTTTCCCATTCTTCTAATGACGACAAATATGCACGACGTTCACTTAATTCCTATTATATGTAAAATATTTACCTTAATTAAAATCTCATAAAAAATTTTTATCAAAAGATTAAAGACAAATATTTCCAACTTTCAAACTGGGCATAAAGAGACATGTAATTTTTAACGTTTTCATTGCAGTGATTAATGTTACTGACATTCTATATTCTCATGTATATTTTAGGGGTTGATATCAATTCCAGCGAAATATGTACAACTAACATAGACAATTACATCGCTTCTCAACATATTTCAAAACATAACTACTGTTGCCCAGTTTCTGTTACTATAAGGAATGAGTTTTTTTGCAAATATATAAGCCTACTACCAATATGCTGAAAGCTGAAAGAATGAAATCATAGATAATGAATATAGGCGCTTTGTTCGAAAGCACAAAGGAGTAAACTAAGATTAATCATTTATGTCTCAAATGATTGCTGGCGACTGAACAAAGAGGTCTTTTGTAAGAGGCTTGCGGAAGAAAATCATGTTATTCATGACTTTAACAACACAGCACGTTGAATCTATTTTCCAGACGGCTAAACAATTACTTCAAGAATCGAGCATGCTAGTAAATTGTACAAACTATGAATTTTGATACCGACGAACAATGTAAAGATAAACAATTGGAATGCATAACATAAAAGATTTCACCATTATTCATTCTGGCTAAAATTATTGTATCACTTATGAACATGACGGAGTACGCTGTTATCGGTTCGATACGTCAATGAGTTGCGCGAGTGGAACCATTAAGAAAACATGTTCACTAAAACACGCCTGTCCTGGTATGCTTTGTAGTGCTTCTTTCCCGTAGTGAAAAAATATTCATTTTCTTTCTTAATCTTG